CAGTAGGTAAACATCATTTATAAAAATGTAGTTTGAATGTTAACAGAAAAGTCATGAGGATGACTTCACATAGTTTTATGATATATTATAAAAAGACCTTTTTGATTAAATGAAAATTTTTTAATGCTCTGAAGAAAAGAGAGTGCTAAAAAAGTCTTTTAAATTAAGTAAAATAACATGGAACTATATGGCCCATATGTAAATTTTGTACAGTGTGTCATGGATGAGGTTTTTAGATAACTAGGCTAGGAGGCAGTATTGTTTGGGAAAAAATGTGTCCATTTACATAATTTCTAATGTCCTAGATGTGAAAGAAACTTAAACTTTAACACCAGTTTGTTGGCTTTAATCTCTTAAAATGCTCTTAAAAAGAATGCCCAGTTGCCAAGTGGTTATTGCAACTAAATGAGTCACCCTGAGGCTAATATACTAAACCCATTATCTTCAAGTCAGGACAGAACAGAACTGCCCCCATAGTGTTTCCAAGGCTGTAACCTTTATGGGGGAGCTCTGGTGGCATACTGCCTAAGGCATTTGACTGCTCACCAGAAGGCTGGCAGTTCAAACCCACCAGCCTCTCCTTGGGAGGAATGACTATGAGCTGGATCTGACTTGACGGCAGCTTTTTTTTTTTTCACCTTTATGGAATCAGGCTGTCACATGGTGGGTTTTAATCACAGACTTTTCAGGTAGAAGCCTAGTGTCACCATGGCTCCTGGAGGGGAATATAAACAGTTATTAAGTGGTTGAGAGGAACCAAGCTGTGTACTAGGAGTGGTCATGCAATAGTTAATTTGCTCTAGTTTGCTCAGTGCTAATCAAATATGTTGTAGAACTGTTTGGCTAACCAGATGTTATTGGAGCTCCTATGTTTGTTGTGTGGGTTTTTTCTTTATGTGTCTCAAATCCCAGTGATGTGTTTCTAGAGGAAAAACTGCCTACATGTTTATCTTGCATCCATAAAGGAATTTGATTACATATTCTGTTCTCTCTGTTATTGTCAGAAATAATCATTCAGGGAATGCAATCCTTTTATTTCTGTACATTTCTTGGCAAGCATATGTCTCACCACCTGCAATAAATTTTCTGTTTGGGGATATGGGAACATCCTACTTCTGTAGGCAATATAGGAACTTCCTACTTTAATGTCCAATTGGGCTACTATATACTTAGTAGAAGAAATATTTGTTTCTTTGTTTTTTGAAGGATCATATTGCATAACAAATGATCTTGACTGCTCCAAGAAAAGATAATAATACTGGTCAAATAACTCATTAAGCTGAAATAGTTTATCTTGACTCTGATGAAACTTACTACTCACCCCAATCTCATTTGATTTTCCTGAATAAATAAGTATTAATTTCTCTCATGGTCTAAGAGTGTGTATTTGGTCCAACAGGTCTAGTCACTCATTCAATATTTACTGAGCACCTACTACATGTTGCTTGTAGAGCAGTGAACACTACAAAAAGCTCTGTTCTCATGGAACTCACATTCTAGTATGTGTGTGGGGTATGTGTGTGTGTGTGCGCATACATGCACATGAGTGTGTGTGAGAAAGAAGACAGACAATAAAGCATTTAAATAAGCAAAATATAAAGTATGTGAGGTGTTGATAAGTTTGTGGAAAAAAACTGAGCAAAGCAGCGGTATAAGAAGTGTCTGATGCAATTCTAATTAGACTGATGGGGATGAACAATGACTTAGCCATGAAGATCTGAAGAGAGAGAGGATGTACTGGATGTATCTGGTGGTCAAGTCATTCAGGCATGAACAGAAGTGTGTTTTATATGTTCAATATAAAACATTTAATATGAGCAAAGGATAGCAAGGATATCAGTGTGGCCACAGAAGAGTGAGCCATGTGAGGAGTTATAAAATATGAGATGAGAAATGTAAGCAGTAGAGGGACAAAGAGATCAGACATTATGAGCCACTGACTGTTATAACTGTGGCTTTACTTTCATTGTAATGGAAGGCCACAGAAATAATTTGAGCAGAGAATTGACATGCTGTAATATATATTTTAACAGAATTACTCTGGCTTCTGTGTTGGGCATACACTAAAGGGAGATGTCAAGAGAAGCAGATACACTTATTTAAAGGTAAGTGAAAAGTGTAATAACTAAAGTAAGATATGATGGATTGGGCCCAGAAGAAATAGTGAATTGGTATTATTAATATAATTTAAATTTAAAGGTAAGACCGATAAGTATCAGATGTAGGATATGGAGGAATAGCAAGCATCAACACACTTCACAAGTTGGTTATTTTGAGACATTGGAAAGTGGAGTTGACATTAACTAGGATGAGATGGTCACATAAGTAGTAGGTTGGAAGGGCAAGCATTGATTTCAGATGATCAAATCTGGATGTTTAAAATTTAATACATCTATTAGACTAATAGGAACTCTGATGACACAGTGATTAAAGCACTCAGCTAATAACCAAATGGTCGGTGGTTGAACCCACTAGCCACTACCTGAAGATGATGTGGCAGTCTGCTACTGTGAAGATTTACAGCCTTGGAAACCCTATGGGGTATTTATACTCTTTCCTATAGTGTCACCATGAGTAGGAATCTATTTGACAGCAGTGGGTTTTTTCTTTTTTTTTTCATTTGTTGTTGTTGTTAGACTAGTGCCTTTTTATTTTTGGAGAAAGTATAACTCTTTTATTTCTAATTCATCATAGGCCAATACTTTTGTAAAATAAAAATAAATTACTAGAATAACGAAGTTGAAAAAGACAAAGATATACAAAATATAAGCCTCAATTTTATTAGATTCAACAGACTGAAATTAAGCCATCAAATTGCTTATATAACTTTCCACATGCTTCTCATTGTAGAGTGGTAATAAAAAGCTCATATAACTATTGGTCCACAAATTAGATTACACTTTGAGAAACACTTATTAAACTCAATCAATAAAGTTTAATTTGCTTATTTATCCATTAAAAGTAAATTCAGATCCCATAAGTTAGAACAATCCTATAAAAAATATTGACCCTAGGAAAACCATGTTTCCCACAGTGGCTAATTTATACTTTACATGAATTTTAACAAAAAAAGAGACTATTAATCTTGATTATCCAGATAAAGAAAAAGAATAGATAAAAGAGTATCTCTGAAGATGATCCACTATGTGGAGGCTTTAGATCTATGACACAGATAAGCAAGTTGATAAGCAGTAGTTACCCATTAAAATTGTAGACATTAATTAAATCATCAATAAGGTATATGATCACTAACTGTCATAAGTGTGCTAAAGAAGGATTTCATCTAAAAGATCTGGAAAAGTTTACTTAAAGAACTCAAGTTCCTTTTAATGGGAGTTTATGAAGTTAAGTCTTTTATGGGGATAGAAGTAAAACTTTATAGGAAAGAAAAAGGTTTTAAAAAGTTCCTGGTGCAAGGAGGGAAATGTTCAAATACTCTTTACATAAGTGATTAAGAATTGCCGGGGACAATGTTAAACTGTCAGGTTATAAGGAGTCTCATTCTAGATTCCAGACTCTAGAGAAAGGAGTATGGTCCTCTTTGCATGAAAAATGAGCATCCATAGGAGAGTTTAAGACTGGGAGTACCAAGATTATATTTATACTTTGCAAAAATTACTCCGATTCATTGTGAAGATTGTATAAGAAGGAGATGAATGTAGTCTTCCCTTGAAAATTAGATGATTGTTGGAGAAGTCCAGAGAGGGGATGATGGTGGCTTTGATGAAAAAAGAGGTCAGAGCGATAGAGAGAAGATTAAATGGATATTTAGGAAGCAAAGTCACTGGAAAATAAAGATAAAGCAATACAAACCATGTCAAGTACTGGTTTTGCAGTACTATAATTAAGATGTAAAAGAATTGACATAATGCTAGGAAAGACAAGAAAAGAGAATAAAAATAATACACATGTTATAAAGTAATATGGAGGTAACAGAGATCTAAGTTTTGATAGAAATATTTAATTTTAAGTGTATTTACAGTGACAGGCAATTTATCTAAGCATTAAGATGCTGCATTGTATCCTCATAGGATAATCAGCATCTGACAATGTATTACTCGTAGGGAAACTTGAGACTTCACATTTACATGAAAATTACCTAATCAATTTCTCAGGAGACCAGGAAAAAAATAAATGTTATCAAAAAAGGGATAACAGAATGTGCATAATCATATCTCTCTGTAGACATTCTGATTGAACTGCTCTGTGTTGGATACAGCAAAATCAGAGAGGGAGGGAAGGAGTGAGAGAGGGGTGGCGGATGGAGAGAGAGGGAGGGAGGGAAAAGTTACAGGGTGCCTCACTCATTACCAGTATTGGAAGAAATAACAAACATAAAAGAGGACAGAGCCACCACAGATTGATTCTCCATGCTGAGTTTATCATTGAAATCATTTTGATAAATCATTTATTTTACAAAGATATTTTCTGGTAATTTAGAACAACAGTGTCTTTTTCATGCAAATAGAGAGGCAGTTCTACGTGCAGTCAACCATCCTCCTTAAATTCCTTTACTAGGTCCAGCAAGCTAAATTCAAGTAGATGAGACACACTGTGCTTTTGTAAGTGATTCACAGATTCTGCTGGCGCTAGTAAAATATTCTTCCATAGCAGTCATGACATAAGAAAATTTAGTTGTGGTGAGTTCTCAGATCTATCCCAGGGTATTGATTTTTACTTAACAACTCTGAAATTTGGATCTTTACTGAACTCACCTTAGAAAGGAACTAGGAGAATGAATCTAAACTCTAAGAAATCCACCTTAAAGGAAAAGTTTATATGTGGAAGGAAACTTTCTTTGTTGGTTACCAGGGGTGGGAAGGGAGGGGAGGAAACACTGGAAACAAAAAAAAAAAAAAAGGAAAGAAATCCACCTTAAGCCATCACCTTGACCAGAACCACAGACAAGCCCTTTGCTTCTAATATTTGCAGTATTGAAAGGTGACAAAAATATGCAGCAAGATAAAAGCAGTGCAAAAGGCAATTTCAAAGACACTCACGTATATCTGATTGTTCCCAAAGCGCTTTTGAACTTCATAAAGCAAGCTGCCATCATTTAGCTCACTGAGCGTTGATAGGTCATCATTTGGAGCAGGAGGCATTAGCTTGACCTGGAGGAATAAATAAGTATGATCAATTCTAATTGCTAACCAATAAACTTTGTTCACAGTTAGATATTCCAATTTCAATTGCTTGTCAAAAGTTTAAAGACCACATAAGTGTGAAACTCAGTTATTAAATGATGAAATGGTTCACTTAAAATATTCAACATCCCATGGACAACTGTACTCAGATTAGAATTTTTATTCTATACTTACAAGTATGCTCACACATCCACACATAACACTGAATGTCATTTGCATGTCATTCAAAGTCAGTAAGTTTTTCAAGATCATTTCAGCATGTAAAACACTTCTTGTTCTGCACTTATAATTTAGATGATTCTGCACTGTACTGTGTCCTTTGTAAGGTGGGCAGAAGAAAAACTAATATATTTGAAGTGTTTCCAAAGCTAAAACAGAACTTCTCACATTACTATTGTTGGCATGGTGAAGAAACACTGTGATTGGATTTTAATTTGTGAATGCACATGGTGTGAGAACAGATTTTTGTTAAAAGTAGACTCTAGATCTTTGGTTTGGGAGCTCTGGTAGCATAGTGGCTAAGACACTTGCCTGCTAACCAGACGGCTGGCGGTTCAAACCCACCAGCCACTCCTCGGAAGGAAGGTTGGGCAATCCTACTTCCGTAGTGATACTGCCTCGGAAACCCAAGGAGGGGTCGCTATGAGTCGGGTTTGACTCGACGGCACATAACAACAACAACAGATCTTTGGTTTACATATTTTTATTTTGCTCTATTTACTTTTAGGTTTAAGGTAGCTGTGAGATTAAGATAGTGCTTTTTAAGGAAAAACATACTTTGCTGCTCAATTTAATACAAAATGACAGAGTTTATAAACTCAGCAATATTTCAAATGAAAAGAAAAACATAGATTATTCAATTAGATTAAAATCTATCATTATAAAGACAGAAATGAGCAATGATTAATTTCATATACACAGAATGTGCTCTAAAAATTACACATTTGATATTTTATAATGACAATATTAGTTTTCTTATTACAATCATTGAGGAGGAAAAAAATAATGTTCTTATCAATGTCCCTGTGAGTTACAGGATGCTCATATAAATTTTTAATAAAGGCATGTTTATTTATTAATTATTGTGGTGGTTATGTTTGTGTGTCAACTTGGCTGGGCCTGGTTGAGTGGCTGGGCAGCTGGTGGTAGTTATTCCCCATGATGAGACTGGCAATCAACTCCATGGTGGATCTACCACCAGCAGCTGAGTAGCTGCCTTTGGGAGGTGGTCTGCTTCTTGTATATAAGGAGAAGCCTTGGGAAGGTCTCTAGCTTATGGCACACTTGGACCCTGCATGTAGCCTTGTCATAGTTCAGCAGCCTGCCATGCTCTGCCTATCCTGGGACTTACAAGGGCCTTGAATTTATGGCCTGCTGTGTGGTTTAGTAACATCGGGGCCGTGCCATTTTATTTGTTGACCTTGGGCTTGTCAGCCTCAGAAGCCAGCAGCTGTCTGAGTGAAGAAAAGCCACTAGCTTCAGTGGGCTGGGAGCAAGAGGCCGAGCTGAAGCCCAAGGTCGAGGAGCTTTCACCCAACCCCTAGAGCCTGGCACTTGAACTTGGACTTAAAGCCTCCAAACTGTGAGAGAATAAACTCGTCTTTGCTAAGCCATCCCATATTCTTGTCAGAACAGCACTAGGTACCAGAACAATTATATATATCATTAAATAACTTGAATTTAAATATTACTGTTTAAAAGTTAAATGTTTATAAAGTAAAAGTACTATGCATTTTAAGAAACTAAATTTAGAATTACTTCTTGGATATTAGTGATTATTTCACAATATGACATATTTTCCAGGAGTTGGTAAAGTCAGTTCATTGCTATCCTCAGACTGTTTTCAAATCTAATGTATTAGTAATTCAAATTCAAATTCTTCATTGGGAATTTTGAAAGATCAGAAGTCATCATAACTGACTTATGTATTTCAATTAATAGAATGTTATAGCAGTGGGCTTTCTGGTACTGGAAATAAAATAATTTAAGTAGAAAAGACAATGTTACAATAAAAATGTTTCTTTATTAAAATAAATTCATTTTTAAAATATCCAAGATCTCAGAAATATCAAGAACAATCCCCTTTCCTAATATCTTCTCTGTTTTTGTAGCTTTTAAGACAAATGTATTTCAAAATATCTTTAAAATGTTTTTTTATAGTATTGACCTATAAAGAATATATACCATTGTCTTGTTAAAAATTAGTTATCATTTGACTTTGGGTTAGAGGTATGGCTTCAGTGCTGTTGAAGATGTGGACATATCTACTTAAACATTTTAAGTTGTTGTTGTTAGGTGTCATGGAGTCGGTTCCGACTCATGGCAACCCTGTGTACAACAGAACAAAACACTACCTGGTCCTGCTTCAGCCTCACAATCCTTGCTATACCTGAGCCCATCCTTGCAGCCACTGTGCCAATACATCTTGTTGAGGGCCTTCCCCATTTTCACTGACCCTCTGCTTTATCAAACGCTTTATCCAGAAACTGGTCCCTTCTGACAAGATGACCAAAGTAGGTGAGATGAAGTCTGAGCATTCTCTCTTTAAAGGAGCCTTCCAGCTGTACTTCTTCCAGGACAGATTTGTTCATTTTTCTGGCAGTCCATGATACTTTCAGTATTCTGTGCCAATACCACAACTCGAAAGCATCACCTCTGCTTCAGTCTTACTTATTCATTGTCCAGCTTTCACATGCATTTGAGGCAACTGAAAATACCATGGCTTGACTTAGTCTTCAAAGAGACATCTTTGCTGCTAAAAATAGATGTCATAATATTTCAGCTCTCCTATTTCCTGAGATTTCTAAAACAATTTTGGGCTGGGTGTTATCAACTTGTTAACATTATACATTTTTTTTCTACTTTAGATAGTTTCATAGGACAAGGTGTGGTCGCATAAGGTGCTCTCAGGGACAAGTATTAAGATAGAATAAAAAAAACAAAAAAACTCACTGCCATTGATTTGATTCCAACTCATAGAGATCCCCTTTGGGTTTCTGGGGTGGTAAATCTTTATGGAAGTAGATTGCCTAGTCTTCCTTCCACAGAATGGCTGGTGGGTTTGAACCACCAACCTTCTGGTTAGCAGTCAAATGCCTTAGGCACAACGTCACCAAAACTGCCTTTGTCTTTGCCTTTTGGTGATATAACTAGTGGTCTTCTTGACCTATGAAGTTTTAATTCTGTGTTTCATCAATGATGCTTATTCAAGTAAAGATCTTAGACATTATTTAAATATAACTAATATTAGATTTATTAATTTGTTTGCTTATTAGTATTTATAAATATTATTATTTGAATTTAATTCTTCTACACTTTACATGCTGGGGAATATAAGCTCATGTAAATCTAAGACGTTAATTATTTACACTTACCTGGGGGAATGTGACTGAATCTCAGTTGTATATACCCCTAGCTCAGAGATCTTGAACTTTTTTTTTTTTTAACATCCTCAAGCTTCTTTCAACTCTCTTATAAAATATGATACAAGTATCATATTTTATATTTTCACAGGGTTGTTGTAAGAATTAAATGTATGTGGAACACTGGCTCTGCAGCTAACTGTGTGATAAATATGATATATTGTTAGTCTGGTTAGTAATACACCTAGAAGGGGCAATGGGTAGCAATGATACGTTTTCTTCAGTTTCCTTAGCATTCCCTTTGAAGGAGGGCAGAGAGGGCAAGGGTGCAGCGTTGTGGGTGTGCCTCTGCTATTGTTTGCAAAGATGCTCAGCCTTAATCTACTTTAGGAATTGAAGTTCTCTTTCCCATATTTCTTTTGGGGAAAAGTTCATCTGCCAAATAATGATTTTTGAAAGTTTGAATTTCATTGCTATAGTCCAATATACGTAATTAAGTGATAGAGAATTTGAGGCCCAGAGAGGCTAGATGTTTTGCCGAGGGTCACACTGATGAGTCAGAAGCAGAAGTCATGATAATAACCATTAGACATTAGTGGAGGGATCCTAGCAGATAATGAATTAATCTGAGAAGAAATATACAATAATGTGTCAATTTCTTCTTCTTTGTGTACTCTTAGCTTTAGGCTACTGGTCAGTAAAAGAGGGAAAAAGGAGAGTTGGTCTCATCTTGGAAGTAGAGAAATAAGAAATTACAGTTATGAAAAGTGCTATGAAGGAAAAAAAATCTATGATCTCGGAAAAGAGAACATCTTCACTTTACTTTGGATGTCCAATGTCTTATTTCCAGAGGCCACATTAATGTTGAGATTGAAAGTCTTAAGAATAAATCAGCAGATAAATGAAAAGGCAGTTCTTTGGAATATAAGGAACTCTGGTGGCACAGTGGTTAAAGCATTTGGCTGCTTACCAAAAGGTTGGCATTTCAAACTCACCAGCCACTCAGTGACAGAAAGATGTGGCAGTCTGTTTCCATAAAGATTTACAGCCTTGGAAACACTAAGGGGCAGTTTTAACATGTCCTATAGGGCCACTATGAGTTTGAACCTATCTTCTCTATAGCAGTGGGTTAGATTTTCTGGAATACAGGGGAAGCCAATCTCAAAGTTGCTGAATGGGAAAGAAATTGGTGTGTTGGAGGCATTATTGGTTGACTTGGGTGTCTGGAGTCTGGGAGGGAAACAGCAGGAGTTGATATTGTCAGAATAGGCAAGGCCTTGTATGCCATGGGAAACCCAAAAAAGAAAAAGGGGAAAAAAAAAAAAAAAAAACAGTTTCTGTCAAGTCATTTCCAATTCCTGAAGACCCCATGTGTGTCAGAGTACATCTGTGCTCAACTGAGTTTTCAACAGCTGATATTTTGGAATTAGATCACCAGGCTTTTCTTCTGAGGCACTTCTGGATTTGCACAAAAGCACATTTACTATTTGCACCATGCAAGGACTCCAGGACATTGAAGCCCACACAAAAACCCAAATCTATTGCCATTGAGTCAATTTCAACTAATAGCAACTCTATAGGTCAGAGTAGAACTACACCATAGGG